AAACTTACTACTTTTAGTGCTCAAATTTTTTTGAGCGTTCTTTTGTAAATCAGTCGTGCAGAAATGCTTGAAATATGTTCATAATTTGCAATTGATGTAGGTAAACGTAGCAGTGCGCACATAAGTGGAACATTGAATTTTTTGCTGCTTTTACGTCTTTTGCTTTTTTCTAAAATGCATACAAAGCGTTTAACTTAGATGGACGAACTGACAAAGAAACTGGTTGAGAGCGAGAAAATTATTGCCGCACAAAGAAAGGAAATCGAATTTTTGGTCAGAAAGTAAGCATTCATTTAGCATGCGTTTCAAAAAAAAGTACAAGTTTTATTTTTTTAAAAAAAGTGCGGTTATCCCAATTATTTTTTAGAATTGCCAAACTGGACGACGATCGAATTCTGGCACAGAAACTGGGCACATCTTCGGAATCGGCTACAGAATCAACCACAGGACCCCTTGGACTTTATTGGGAGAGAGAATGGACGCAAGCTGATCAAAAGGTATTGCCCCTACTTGCCGGTGGTAATCGGGTTACTGGAAATCTTCGTTATTCTCCAGTTTTGCAAAATTCTGGGGCATGATGTAATCCAGCAAAGGCCAGGAATAAGATTAAAAAAAATGCCAGCAGCAACTGTCCCGTTGCTATTCCAGCGGAAAGACATTTGCAAATGTGCTGATAGATGCTTTCAAACATTGTTTTACTTCAGCTTCCACAAATTGTAGTTTTTATGAGCTCGCTGAAAAAAGAAGGTAATTCCCACGTATAATCAGCGTAAAACGTTTTTAGCCTAAAGTTTGATTTTCCAGTTAATGGTAAGAAATATTTACGACTTAATGGACCGAAACATTTCTTACCGTTTAAAAAAATTTCTTTTCAACATTTTGTCTTATTTTATTTATCTTATTTGATTTTATAACTTTTGTGAGTTATTTATAAAGAAAAATAAATTTTGCTGGTTTTATTAGGAAGGCGAAATGTCTTACGTAGAACTGATGGATGCTCTGGGTCG